TTTTTTTTTTTTTTTTTTTGTTAAAATTTTGAATAATTAAATAATAACAAAAATAAATTCATTTCAGTTTAATTTTTATTCATTTAAATTTGTTATTATTACCAAAATAATCATTTTCATTTTAATTTTCATCACTATCAATTATTTTTTCTAAATTTCGATGTAAAATGATGAAAACTCTAATGAATCTTACTTTATTTGGTCACGTAAATAAATATTTTTTAAAATAAATTAATTTTATTTAATTTTAAAAGTAAAAATAAAGTTTTATTATTTAAAGTTAGGTATATTTTTAAATTGTATCTAGAAGCTGTACAATTTTTATTAAACTTTATCTTTAGCTCACAATGAATGACGATATTGAAGCTTCTGTATATTCGCGATATACGATAGCGTTTAATGTTCTGCTTAATTGCTTAAAGAAATATGACTGTCCGGATATTGCTGAGAAGGATCTTTCGCGGGGTAATTAAACTTTATTAACTATCTACATAATATAAATAAATTAACTGACATTTTTATTTCACTTAGGATTTTATAACAGAATACCAAATGTTCGAAACGGTGAACCACGTTTAAAATCTATAACTAAACAATTACTAGAGGAAGTTGTTTATAATAATATGACACTAAACGATTTTTTAATTAGTTTACAAAATAACGTATATGGACCTAATTGCGAAAAACCTTTTGCAAGATATTGTATTGCTGCTTACTACACATATTTGAATTCTTATGTCCCACTTTAAAAAATATATTCAAAGAAAGTAGAGAACTTGAGCTTTGAAATAAACATTTTCTGTGTAATAATATGGTTCAATTAAAAGTTTTCTTTATAATATGTTTCTATTTTTGGTGTTTAAAACGTTTTGATTTGATTTTTTTTAAAGTTAATAGAATGTTTTAAATAATATTCTCTTATATTTTTTTTCCAAAATTATTGATTTTTTTTTTTATATAATTAAATATTTTAGAAAAAATCCAATAGTTTTAAATTCTTAACTTTTCCACTGCTCTTAATACACAATATCAGTAGTTTCTTTTTTACATTGTTATTCATTTAGTATACCTATAATATATTAGCTTCGATGCGAAGCTAAATAGGTATTAATTTACTATGATGTGTTTTTTTTTTTTGTGTTACCACTTTTTCATAGCTCTCAACGAACCGATTTCTTTCAACAATACGACAATAGATTACAAATCGTATCTAATCAAAGACATTACCCTCAACAATTGAAAACATTTTCCTCGTTCCCCGTAAATGAGAGAAAGTTCCAAAAAAATTTCAAATTTAAAAATCGCTAATTTTCGAATTTTTTTCATTTTTTTTCTTAAAACTGCTATAACTTTTTCAATAATGACTATATCAGAATAATTTTTTTTTTATAGAATGTGTTTACCTATCAATTGATGTATTTTTTTTATACATTTAACCATTTACCTGACCACAGGGGGAGTTTTAAAATGACAATTTTTTCACAAAAAATTAACTTTTTCAACTTTAATTTTGAAAGTGTTCCGGAAATACTGACACTTTTATATATACCTTAAATTAAAGCTTATTTAATATACTTTATAATGAAAAAAAAAAACAATTCAGACTTTATTTTGTCTTTACGGTAAAAATGGCCACCCTATGCTAATTTTGTGTGAAAATTCTCGATTTTATATTTTTAATTTTTAACTTTATAATTCCAAAACTTATTGAAAAGTGTTTGGATCAACAACATTTTTTATGAAAAATAATATTTATATCCCTTTTTCATTCGACATACTTTATCTGAATCAGTATATAAATAAGGAAATAGAAGATTATGTAGTTTTTGTAATAATCCACCAATTTTTTATAGTTAAACACTATCTAAAAATTTGCATCGAAGCGTTTTTTAACACGCTTATATTAGTTTCACATGTATGTGAGTTGTGTGTTGTGTGTAACTTTCCACGCGCCACGTGTTATTATGTCGCTTATCCCGTCGTCTATGGCCTTGAGACTAGACTGTCGTAACGCATTCACCCCACCCCGCTCACTACTCGCCGATAACACTATTTTCCTGTATAATTTTTGTTTTTTATATCCATACATGCGAGCGTATCATCAATATTATATATATACAAATATATATATTCGTATAAACAAATTTTTATTGTTTATTATTAGATTCAAATTTTTTTGAGTTAATATACACGTATAATACATAAGGGATTACAAATACAGGTAGCTAATTGGTTTTTTATGACGATATTAGCAAGCATAAGCATAAGCATAAGCATGTTGAAGTACCTCCGATGGGAGGTCTCTTTACTCAGTCTCTTCTGTCTGTTTTTTTTTCTTTTAATGTTATCACTTAAGCTTATTGTTCAATATTGTAACAGATAGCGTAATAATTAAAATTTTGTTAAAAAAAAAAAAAAAATTTTTAACTTTTTAGTTTGATATGCTTTAAAAGCGTGTTTTTCAGTTTTTTAAACTATATTTATTATGAAAGTGATTCTAATCACTGTGAGATATCATTATACTTGATCCAACTATGCCACGTCACCACTGTGCCGCGACCCCCCTGTGCTTGGTTTTTATTATCCTTCTTTTCAACATTATTACTTATATAAATATAAGTTTGGTTATTTTATAACTGAGTTCAGATTTTATTATAACTTTTAAGTAATAAGCAACAGTTATGACACACTTGTATAAATACAAAATAAATATTGTAAAGTATTTTATAGTTTTTTTTTTAGATATATTCCTGGTTATGATAAATTAGAGTCTTTATAATTATTTATTCTTTTTAACTTTTTAACTGTCAATAACAATCAACAAGTATTTGATGCCATCAAATTGATGATCATTTATAAATAAATTTATAATGCGTTTTAATAGTTAAAATATTATATGAGAAGTAACTAAAATCATTAACATAATTTATAAATTCTAAATATTTACAAAATAACATGGGTTCATGAGATGAGAAAAAGAATATTTGGATTTCAACATTACGTGATGTAACGAGTTATAATAGATTTTTGTAATATCCATCTAAGAAAATTAAAATACAATTGATAAATTTAATTGCTATTTATTAAAATAGCTTCAAAACTTTATTTGTAAGTGTAATGTTTATATATATTTTTCATTTGAATTGAAAACAGACGCTATTGTCAAAATTATGACCGTCTTCAATGCATTGAGGACACACAATATAGAATGTGAACCGTAGGACCAGTTGAGACAATTTTTCATTAAATGCAAAAAAAAAAATTAAATACAAGATTTTAATTACAGTCATCCTTTATAACAGTGGAGATACAAGTAAAAATTTAGACAAAATATAAAAAACTTTCCCATTGCATTAGGTTAGTTTATGTTAAGTTTCATCTTCCCCCCCCTCTGAATTGGTATGACAAGGTTAAGTAGATGATGAGGCGTGGGTGAAGCTTCTCCTCACATTTCCATAGGTTATTCGCGGTGTTGTAAACTCTACAATTAGACTTTTTCTATCATTTCTCATCTTACATATTATTATTAATTAGTAGGGATTGCCAACGATACTGATATTTCGACTGGACATCGATATATCTCGCCGAATTTTTTCATTTTTTCCATAATATCAATTATTTTTTAAATATCGCGTTAATCAAAAATCATTTTTTATAAAAAAAAACATTTAAATTTTAATTACTTTGTTATAAAATATATATTATTTGATAAATATTAATAATTATTCAGAACTTAATTAATTTAGCTTTAATTAAAAATATCAATTAAAAATTTGTTAAACAAACCTACTCAATTGAGTGTATAAAAACAAGGTGATTTTTATTCAATTTTTGAGGGTACAATCTTTAGCTATATACTTGTTGTGATAATTTGACGTATCATTAAAATAAATAAGTCAAGTGAGAACTGAGAAAATAAATGACAGCCACAAAAAAAAAACACATAGTAAAATAATTTTAATATGAATAAGAAATTTCTTCTCACAAGGGGAGACTACAGTGATGGGATCCTTGAAATATAATGAAGTTATATAATCTAAATTATATAAAATAAATGAGTGAAATATATTTTTTTAACTCAAAAAAAATTAAGAAAATAATGCAAAAAAATTCATCGTCACAGTCGGATTCGAACCTCGTACACCAAGAGTCAAGCTCACAAATGCCCGACCCACTCACCGACTACGTCGTATTAATCTATTGATAAAAATGACAATTTAATCTAGTTTAAATTTCAAAGTTACTTTTATCCACTTAAAAGAACAAAAAAAATTTAACTTTATATGCTAAGTCAAATAGATTTTTATAATATTTATGAAAATCAGCCTACTCTCCTTGTAAGGTATTTTTAAATGAAATACTAAACCAAGAATTTTACCATAACATATAATAAATGATATCTTTAGGCGTTGGTTTTGGCGCAAAGTCATTCATACTACGTAGTGAAGAACGTGCAACGGATCCTATTCTGGGGTCCATCTAATAGGGAGGACAAGCTTATAAATAAGGTTGGACGAAACACAATACGGTGGTGTGACTTAAACGGTATTTGCCGTTCTAAATAATGCCTAACGTCATTTCCAGAGTGGTTTACAATAATATCAGTCTTGTATAAAAAAAGAACAAAAAATGGTTTGGAGTGTTACGTAAAAAAATAACAATCCAAAGTTTACACTTTTTAGGGGAATTATCTAGGCGCCCATAATGTCGTGGTGTCATAAAATTTATTTTTATTTACTAGTTTAAGAGGTGACGACTTGGGTCACGCAATGGATTGTGGAGTCGCCACCCTCATGACTCCCTTGCAAAAGGAAAATAGGGTCACCAACCACTTAGGTGAGGGTCTTGATCATAAAAAAAAATAACACCCGGACCATAAGTGGATTTAAAAAAATAAACAATAAGTAAACCAATAGTATTAAATAAAATAATATACACTATGATGAGACAAAGTGGATCGTCGAATAAAAAATTATATATATATACTAAAATATAAAGTGTTGTTGTAAACTATAATACTCTGATGATACCTTGTAAATAAAACAAAATATGTTTGTTTGATGTCATCAGTGGTGGACATACTTAAGTATATCGAAGACCGTTACCTTATAACTAGAGAGAATTATTAAAGGTAAAAAAAATAAGATACACATGAATATTGATGATATTCACGCAATAAAAAGATTTTTGATGATTAAGAGATTTAAGGGAACTTTATTAAATTATTACAGTTAAGTTAATAGTGGACAAAACCCGAAGGCAAAAACCACTATGAAAATGAAGGGACAAAAGAAAAAAAACGATTATTAAGACAAAAAAAAATTTTAACCTACAACTTTTAGACAGTTCACGTGAAGTGTTTTCCGCACTGGAACAAGTCCGTGTACTCCGGGCGCGCGCGGATAATTTTTGTAATCGGGCCGGCCGGACCGTACTTGGGCACTGCGGGAATAATATATAATTAATAATAATTAAAAAATTGTTAAAGTCTATTATAGAATTGTATTTGTTCAAGTTCAATATATGACATTTATATTTTCTAAAAATTTATTTTTTTTTAAAAAACTAGAGTATATAAAACATTAAAAAAATTGACGAATTTATTTTAATTTATTTCAAAATAAGTATATAAAATAATAATATCCTCATCTTAAGTTTCTGGTCGATTATTCAGGTAATTATGCTATAAAAATATGTTATTAGTGTGTATCTTACACAACTGACAATGGCTATAGCAGTACATAAAGTAAACATTTCACTTATTTTTTAATAATAATTTACGCACTTTTAGACTGTTGAACTGTGGCTGGGGATTTCAACACCCACTCCCCGGGGGGTCGGCGGACACGAATCAGCGTGGCGAAGACTTGTTGGACCTGATGTTGGGCTGGTCTCGGCCAACAGGGGCTCCACCCTAACGTTCGAGGGTCACTCTTCGAGCTCGGTGGTTGACGTCACGCTGGTGTTCCCGTCGTTACACTCGCACGTGTCCGGTTAGTCGGTTCTGCCGCACAGGGAAAACCTCAGCGACCACTGGTACATCATGTATGAGTGCGGCAACGGCGGCCGTCCCCCCCGATTTTTGCCCCGCGAGCCGTCTCGCAAAAGCTCTCCAACAGATGGGCCAAAGCGAAGTGCTGGGCCGAACTCGTGAAGTCGGTGGATCACGATCCGTGGGGGAAACCCTATCGGGTCGTCATGCGGAAGCTCCGCGGTTCACCGGCTTCCGGTCAGCTGGAGGCGGAAGTGCTGGAAAGAGCGGTAGACACGATCTTTCAGACACATCCGCCTCTGCCTCCCCCGGCGTTCGGGGACGACGTGTCGGTGGAGGAATTCACCACTCAGGATGTGGCTGACGCGGTGGCGCGCGTGTGGGGCCGGAACACAGCTCCCGGCCCCGACGCGATTCCAAATCGGGTGTGGGGGTTGGTAAACGACCTCGCCCCGGACTGGATACGTGCCGTCGCGAACAACTGTATCTCGGAGGGTGAATTCCCCACGAAGTGGAAAGAAATGGCCCAAGAATCAGACCTGTTACGGGAGGCGTCCCGCAAGGGTCAGTTCTCGGGCCTCTGCTGTGGAACATCGCATACGACACGCTGGTGGTGACGGAAGGCGCCTCGTCCGAGGAGGCTGGATCTCGTGCGAACTGCGCGCTCAGCGCAGTCACCGCCTGGATTCAGCAGGAGGGGAGTGGACTGAGCCTCGGCCTGGACAAGACCGAAGCGGTCTTGTTCACGGGCAGGTACAAGTTTATTCCTCCACGGCTCGCCGTGCTGGGGGTGGAAATCCCGCTTAAGGACTCCATGACTTATCTGGGCATTGTCATAGACAAACGTCTAAAGTTCGGGCCGCACATTAATCGTGCGGCCCAGCGGGCCCAGAATGTCATGAATTGCCTGGCGGGACTCATACCCAATCTGGGAGGGCCGAGAAAGATGCGGCGCAGACTCTTAGTCAGCGTCGTACACTCGGTCCTCCTGTACGGGACCCCGGTTTGGGCGGATACTCTTAAGTATCAACTGCTATATATATATACAACCTGGAGTGCACAAGCAAAAGTATAAAGTAATTGTGTATTGGTAAAACATATTTTTTTTTCTTTAAAAAGGAATACCTTTAATTTATTATAATTAAGTAGTTGTATAATATATGAACTGGATACCTCCCTAAACCACATGATATGGGTTTACTGCCATAGTTTGACGTGAGGTGTACACAGTCGGGGGGAATTGGTGAAAGGCATAGGGGTTAATCTACATGTGAGAGTACATAAGGTGGGGAGCTATGAAAAAATGAATAGTTTATTAGAAATTACTTATTAAATTGTAATTAATAAGAAATTATCAGATAAAAATGATTAAGTCGTAAAGGAATGGGGGTTAGTATATGTTTTGCGATTCACCGAGTTTATAATTGATTTTGTTACATTTAATGAGTATTTCGCATAAAAGACGAATTATTACTTGAGTAAAATTAATAGTGTTATGTCAGTTAAACGTCTTAAAAATGCTTTCTTGTGACAAGTGTGAAAAAGTGTACGTTGTCAAAAAACTGTTTGATGAGGCATAAGAAAATCTATGATGGTATACGGTTTTAGTGTTATTTATGCTCATCTTTGTTGCCAAAGGTGGAAAAAAAAAGTTATATTTAAATTTAGTATTTAGGTAGAAATTCGTTATCGCAAATCAACGCGACACCGGACGTCTGAATCGATAATGTACATGCATAATGACCTTAAATGGCTGAGGTCTTGAAAATTAAATACTCTAACATTATAAAAGTATAATATGATTATAGAAAGGTCCCCGAATGAATTTGCCGTAAATCCCAAAAATCATTACTACGGTTCTGCAATTAATATGAAAGTATTCTAAAAGTTATACATAAGTTATTAATTGTATTATAATATTATTTTATAATTTGTCGTTTTTTCGCAAATAACTTTTGAATATTTTTTTGTGATTCAGTTATTTGAAAAAAGGTAAGTTGCATGATCATTTTACTCTATATTAGAAATAGAAAAGAGTTTTTAAGCTTCGATTCGAAGTTGTGAAGATGTTAATTTTACTATGATGTGTTTATTTTTTATTTTTTTTTTGTCTGTTACTACTTTTTCTCAGATCTCACAAAACCGATTTCTTTCAACAATACGTCAAAAGATTACAAATCGTATATATTCGAAGACATAACCCTCAAAAATTAATAAAATTTTTAAGTCAGAGTAGATTTTTACCCTTTTTACATAAGGTTTAAACTATAATTTTAATCATAAGAGATACATTTAATTAATCAATTAAAAATTATTTTAAAAAATGGTGTTTCCGAACTTATTAAACACACAGTATAAATACATGGTGCGATTGCTTTAAAAAAAACCAGCACAGGGGGTCGTGTCATAGTGGTGACATAGCATAGTAGGATCAAGTATAATGATATCTGACAGTGATTAAAATCACTATAGTAAAAAATGCTTCGATACAAATCTTTAGATAGTGTTTAATTTCAAAAAATTGGTGGATTATTCCAAAAGCTACATAATCTGCTAGTTGCTTATTAATATTCTGATTCGGATGTATTCTCAATAAACTTTTTTATTTCATCATAACTTCTCTGAATAAAACTCATTTTTATGTAAAACCTATAAAATATAAAGAAACAAAGAAATTTATTATACATACTAATGACTTATTTTAAATCAGTACCATTTTAGTTAGTTCAATATCTACACAATAGTTTTAATTTTATTGCGATAATATGAAATATTTCCTACCCAGTTATTTAATTGAATTTTTGTATGACAGTTGCCAATATGATGTCACGCCAGCACCCACCTATGTAAAACTTATTTTTGAGATGTAAAGATTGCTGCACAAATAATTATTTATCATGCACAAACAACGGGGACCTTGTGCATATTTCTGCACAAACGATGTACAAACGAATGGAGAAGTAAAGACTACAAAAACTAGGAAAGGGGGGGCTGGAGGAATGGACCCGATAAAATAAGAGACTCGCCGATTTGAAATACAATTGTTAATCTTTTATATTTCAAATTAGTAAGAAATTCTAAACGCTATTTATTATTGTTTAGGATTCTTTTCCTTTTTTTAATATTATTGATGTTGTTATTTGGTTCATATAATTCTTACATTATCATAATTCTCGTTTAACAAATCTATGATATTATTTTTATAGTAACTCCGCCAGATCATGTTCACCGATTTTAATCATAAAAGGATCCTAAATATTAGAACAACCCATAGCTTAGTCTGACCAGACCCAATTTCATTAATGTTTTCATCTTCCAACACGTCGCTGAATTTCATTTTAATCTAGATATTTTTGGTTATTTTTAAATAATTAAATAATCAATTAAGTTCTGATTATTTTAATTGTAGAATATTTTCAACTTTAAAATTTAAATAGAAATGATTACTATGATTACTATTTAAGTGATTTATTACAAAAAAACCCAGCACAGTGGGGTCGTGGCATAGTTGGGTCCAGTATAGATGATATCTGACAGTCATTAAAATCACTATCATAAAAAACGCTTCGATGCAAATCTGTAGATAGTGTTTAATTTAAAAAAAAATTTGTTAAAATAGCATATTTTTGAATATGGTAGCCATTTGCGCATAGAAGATAAGTCGTCGGGACAAATTTTTTTTTTCATTTTATAGTACATAAAATAAGCTTTAATTTGATATATGTTTAAAGGACGCAGTATTTCGGGAACATTTTCAAAAATTAAGTTGAAAAAGTTACTTTTTTTTAATCCCCCCAGTGAACAGAATAAGTGTTAGATTTTCAAAAAAAATTATATCAAATGAAAGGGAAATATCTAAGGTTTCAATACAAAAAAATATTATTTTTATTTGTTCATTTTTGAAAAAGTTATGGCAGTTTTAAGTACAAAAAACATCCCGATAAAAGGTAATTTTTATCGCAAACATTACATTTTTTTTTAATTTTCGACAGCCATTTGCACATAGATGATTACATTTTTCGAAAAGTTATAACATTTTTAAGTTGAAAATTTAAAATCGAAAATTTTAACACAAAAATAGTGTTTTTTTAACTACGCAACCGTTTACATGCAAAAGATAAAGTGTCGGGACAAATTTTTTTTTCATTTTGTAGTACATAAAAAAAACTTTAATTTGATATATATTTGAAGGACGCAGTATTTCCGGAACATTTTCAAAAATTAAGTTTAAAAGTTAATTTTTGTAAAAAAGTTGCTATTTTAAATCCCCCCTAATGAGCAGGTTAAGTGATAGATTTTCAAAAAAATGAAAAGAAATGAAAGGAAAATATCTAAGGTTTTAGTATAAAAAAAAATTATGTTGAGTTGTTGATTTTTCAAAAAGTTATGGAAGTTTTAAGAAAAAAAAAGTGAAAAAATTTCGAACATAAGCGATTTTTAAATTTGTAATTTTTTTCAATTTATAAGGGTAATGTCTTCAACTAGATACGATTTGTGATCTTTTGACGTATTTTTTAAAGAAATCGGTCCAGTGAGAGCTGAGAAAAAGTGGCA